ATATATATATATACATAATATACACACATACATATGGATGGTTCTTTGCGATCGCCAGTATTTGCTAACAAACAGAATAGAGCAAGTGTGCAAGCAGACTGGGAAGCTACATGCTCGGGCTTGCTGTAAGGTCGACTACCTCCCCCTTCTCAGAATTTGAATGTTTTTTTTGGGTGGTATATTACCATCCAATTATAAGGTGACCAAAAGAGGGATATTCTTATTAATATCACTAATAATCGATAGTAATAATACTGCTGATTATTCCTAATCATAGTTGTTACTATTCTTATTCCAACCCCTATATTACCCGAACCCGGCCCCAAGACCCCAAGTCCAGCGCCTGAAAGAAAGCCTGTGGTTCAAGTTCCGCAAAGCCGAAGGTTGAGGGTTTTTGTCCCTCTACTTTAGGCTTTGCGAAACTTGAACCATGGGCTGTCGTTCTTTCAGGTGGGGCTTTTGGGCTTAGGGTTTAGGGTTTTAAAACCTTCGAAATTCGCGAAGCAAAGAGATCTGCTACGACTTACCGGAGCCACCCGAGGCTCCAGCCTGCATTAACACTTTGGCCCTCGAGGCAATTGCCACAAGCACCTTTGGCAAAGTTCTAGGCACGGCTTAGGGTTTAGGGTTTGGNNAGGGTTTAGGCTTTAGGGTTTAGTTCTAGGGCCAGGGCGTTCGTCAGGTTCTCAGATTTCGGGTTCAGAGCTATGTGTTTTGATTTCTACATACCCTCATTACCCCAAACCTCAAGCCTCGCTTAGGTTACAAGGTCTCCCGGTGTGGGAAGCTCGGCGTAGCCATGTAGGGATCTTCGAAGGACTTTTACCCGGGCTTCGACATGGGTTGTGCAAGGGTTCTACAGGGCCTATCCGGGGTTTTCGGCTCGCACACTCGCACAAGGCAGGCATGGCAAGAGTTTACCCTAAACCCTTTTTTTGAGCACTGGCTTGTTTACTCTGAACCCTAAACCCTAGGGTCCCTGAATAAATCTAGTAAAGACCTTTGAAGGTTTCTACACCTGGATTTGAGGGTTTCTGCACCTCCCAGGGAGCCCTTAAGGACCACTGCTTGAACATTAGCCAGGGGCCCTGTAGCAGAGCCACGGTTTAGGGTTTAGGACGTGTGGAACTCAGCACCTCCACAAAGGGCTCAAGCCCCATCACGCACCAGCGAGGTTAAGGGTTTAGGGTTTAGGAAGGTCCGCATCGCAGCCACACGATGTCTTGCAGCCCGGTGTAGGGTTTGAAGCTGCTTTCCTAGAGGCATCTTGGTGGAACATTTTGGAACCTCAGCTTCAGGTTCAGGGTTTAGGCTTTTTGGGTTCACATGGATACCACCAACAAACACACCGAAGGGCGTTTGTCACTGGCTTGCCCAGGTGCTCTCGCACTGTGCTTGCTGTGTTGCCCGCGAATTACACCCCGGAGCCCCTACACCCTGAACTTTGAGGGCTTGAAGCTGTAGGCTTAGGGATTGGGGTTCAACTCTAGGGCTCAGGCTTTCCTCGTTTAGGAGTCATTCAGTTAGTTTCTCAAGGGAAGTTGGACACCTTCGACGTTGCTCGGGTTATGTCCATGCTTGAATGAAAGGCGCCACAGTTCTACGCTAAACCCTCTCTTCTCTCTCTCTCCCTCTCTCACTCTCTCTCTCTCTCCCTCTCCCAGGCATTACCCTAAAACCCCGAGACCCTAAACCCCTTTTACACAGGCTTGATTCGCTAAACCCCTAAACCCTACACATCAAACACTCATCGGGGCGATGGTCTATAGGCCTGCAGGGCCTGGAGGTCGGGGTCCTTGTGATGCCTAGTGTAGGGGCCTTAATAAGTAGAATAGGGTTTTGGTGTATATTATACTGTACATATGATAAGGAACCCCCAAAATAGTATAGGTAATTATTGAGGCCCCTATATTCGACCATTTTTCCATACTGCCCAAAGTTGCTAAAAGGGTTTAGGGCTTAGTTATAGAAGCTCTCTTGTAGCTTATAGACATATGTATGGTGCCAACCTTTCTTGAGGTGATTTTTGGGAGTTGCTGGTTTTTTCAGCCTGTAATCTGCATTGCTATGCTCACAGCAGGTGCTGCAAGATGTTAACGGCTGAGGGGTTAAGGCTTTCATGCT